AAGCTCACTAACAAACAGGGCGCTAGCGGCTGCCTTCGTGGTTGCATGGAGAGCCGCGCAGGCCAGAACCCGCGAGCAGGCGGATAGAGAAGCGGCTAGCGAGGTCCGGGAATGGGCCAAGCCCATCCCCCAAACGGAATACATGGCTATGCGCCAGTCCTTCTCGCAGAAGTTTGGCGAGCCCGAGGATAAGCATATTCCGGCTAAGGAATATATTGAGCGAAAGCTGCACGAGCTAGAGACGGGCGAGTTCAGGGCGGAGCCCCTGAACGAGGTGCTGTCCAGAGACGAGATAGACCCGGATGTGCTAGTTCCCCAGTGGGATAGCAAGGGCACCGCCCTCGTGCTCAAGAAGGCTACCTCGAAAGGGGCGATGCCATCCGGACCGGAGCAACTACGGCTACGGCTAACAGTCATGCAAAATGCACTTCTCATGATAGGCCTCCAGCATCCAGGGCGAGCAGAACTCAAGGATATCGACTTCCAGCTCTTTGAGAAATACAAAGACTATCTGCTCGGCGACTTCTGCTATGGGCTACGGTCCAACGAGGCTAGCGGAAGTCTTGCTCCCCCGTGGACCCTGGTGCTATCCTACGAGAACGCTATCCGGAAACAGGCCTACAAGCAGATGGTCCTCAAGGGGATAGCCTTCGCGGACGCGCTAGTCCAGTCCTGGAAGGACGCGGCTACCAAGGAGCGGCACTTCACGACTCCGTTGTCCCTCTGTGCTAAAAGGCCGCAGCCCTGGAACTGGGATAGCACCAACACCCCGCCGGCTAAGCCCAACAAGAAGGGCAAGGGCAGAGGCAAGGGCAAGGACGGCAAGGATAGCAACAAGAAGGCTAAGACCGCTACCTTCCACCGCACCGAGGATGATAAGCCGATTTGTTTTCGGTTTAATTTGAAAGGTGGCTGCAAGAAAGGGGATAAGTGCCACTTCGTGCATGTCTGCACGAAGTGTCGGGGACCGCATTCGGCTATCAACTGCCCCGGCGCGGCTACGCCGTCGACGTCGACAGCGGCCAACTGACTACCGGTGCCTGAGCCGGCTACTTCGGCTACACCTGAGGCGACACCTGCACACCGGCGGCTACAGGCTCTCTACCTCTTCTCGGGAAGAGAAAGGCTAGGCAGCTTCCAAAGCCACCTCCGCCGGCTAGTTTCTTCCTACGGGCTCGATATCGATATCTCTTGTGTGGATCTGGCGAGAAGTCCGCCCATTGACCTGGCTACTTCCAAGGAGAGGGCGAAGTACCTCCACAAAGTTCAATCGGGCCGTTACGATCCGGCTATGTCTCCCCCTGTGGCGACGTTCTCTAGGGCGAGCTCGGCTAACCGTAAAGGTCCCCGGCCAGTCCGAAGCTTCGACGAACCCAGAGGATTGGCTACACTCACGGCCAAGGAGAGAGACCGGGCTATTCTTGGCAACATTTTTGCTGATTTTTCTTTTGAAATAGCTAGTGCTGCGGTTTCCTCGGCTACCTTCTTCGTCCTGGAGCAGCCAGAAGACCTGGGGGCTATGCCGGCTGGCCCCCACAAAGGCCGGCGACCGGCCAGCATGTGGCAATGGGAGGCTCATGCACGGCTAGTTGGCCTCGGGCTACGTTCGGTGGCCCTGCACCTGGATAACTTCGGGGCACCCGCGGCGAAACCGACACGACTGCTACTGAAGACACCTCTGGAAATGCCGGCTACCGTGCACGAAGGCCTCCCCACTTTCGACAACAATGGCTACTATCTGGGCCCCTTGCCGAAAGCGGCTACTTCATCGACGCCGCAGAGCCCCATGCTGGCTAAGGAGACGCTTGGCGAGTGGCCCTCGAACTTCTGCCGATGGCTAGCACAGTTGGCCCTGGCAACCTGCACGGCTACTGCTCCGACTGCCTCCGGAGAGGGGGTACCGACTGTGCAGGATAAGGTGAGTTCCGGCGACCTCGACTATGTTACAACCCAACCAGAGGGCCCACGGCTACATGGTGGCACGGGACCCCCCCGCCGATGCCATCAAAACGACGGGATAAAGGAATTCCACGACGGTGGCGGGCTATGCTCTCCTGGGCGCTGGCCCCGACACTCTCGTGGACATGCCGCGGGCGAGTCCTGGGACTGGCTGAGGGCTAAGATCCGGGATATGGTAACCAGGCGAGTGGGATCCGAGAACGAGCTAGAAAAGGAGGCCTTCCGAATGGCTATGGGAGGCGAGTCGGCCTGCAAGCTCGTCCGGGATAGCCAACTACACGAAGAGCTACTGCAACTCCTGCAAGTTTGGATAGAAGGTCAGGACCTCAGCGAACCTGGCCTACTGGATATTCCTCCTGGGCAGCCCCTTCGTCTACGGCTACTTCGTGCGATCCTCGAGGCGGCTGGCGACCCGGATAGGGACTTCCTCCGTCGGGCCGAGGAGGGACTCCCACTTGGGATATTGGAGGGGCTACCCAGAACACCGCACGTGTTCGAGGAGCAAACCTCTTGGAGGCTAGACAACGCCCCTTGGGAGCCGGCGCTAGCATGGGTTCCGAATTATTCCTCGGTTAGCGACCACAGGGATTTTGTGCGGGCTAAGTTCGACGAGGACGTCGAGGAAGGCCTCATGGAGAGGATGACCCTCGGCGAGTTCAAGGCGAGGTTCGGCGAGGACCGGGCTATCGCCTCCCTGGCCGTGATAGTCGAGGACGAGGAAAAGGACAAGAAGCGGATAATCCACGACGCGACCCACGGCGTCCGGGTTAACCACCGGATACGCTGCCGGGATAAGATCCGGGCGCCAGGGGCTAGAGAAAAGAAGCAAATCCTCCGAGAGCTGATACGCTGTGGCGAGATTGCCTTTTCGGTCGTGGGGGATATCTCGAAGGCCCACCGGAGATACAAACACCAGGCTAGCGAGCACGGCTTCATGGGCTGCCAGATAGACACCGAGGAGACGATCCCCGGGGACCCGGATAGCCAGATCGTCTACGTCAACACAGTGGGCACGTTCGGACTCTCGCCGGCTAGCTACTGGTGGACCCGGATAGCCGCATGTGGGCTACGGGCAACCCATCATCTGTTGGGCCCCGGCTATCCCATCGACCTCCTTCTATATGCCGATGACCTCGAGGCCCTGGGGATAGGAACGGAGGGGAGGAAGGGTATCCCGTTGAGCTACCTTTTCCTCTCTGTTCTGGGATATCCTTTCAAATGGGCGAAGCTCGTGGTGGCTATAGGGTGGAGTGGCTGGGAATGGAGACAGAGTACTCCTCCTACAGGCTAGGGATGTCCAAGAAGCGGGCGTCCTGGCTATCGGCGTGGCTAAACGACAAGGTGACCTTCGGCAAAGTCACGGCCAAGGAGATGCAGCAGGGGCTAGGTCGGCTAGGCTTTGCTGCGATAGCCTTGGATTGGCAGAGGCCCTTCTTGGGGCCGCTCCACGCGTGGAGCGCAGCCATTCAAGGGAAGTCCGGCTACCTCATCATCCCGACGATGCTCCGGGTGCTGATGCGGTGGCTAGCCGACAAGCTTGACCAAGGAGAGAGGCTACAGCGTCCAGTGACTCTCTACGCCGGGCTACCTCCACTGAGCTTTTTCACGGATGCCAAAGCTGAGTCCGATAGCGCCTGGATAGGTGGCTTCCTGGAGATTTCCGGAGGGAAGCCAGGTCCCTGGTTTTCCCTAGAAGTGGATAGGGCCTGGGCTCCGTGGGCCTTTGCCAAAGGCGACCCCAAGAAAGTGATAGCTGCGCTAGAACTGCTAGCGACCCTCGTGGGGATACGTCTCTGGGTCCCCGAGGGCGAGGATAGGAAGACCTCGCGAGTGGCCATCCGCGGCTATACGGATAACAAGTCCAATGAGGCACTTGTGAAGAAGGCTATGACGACCAAGTATCCCTCCATGCTGGTTTTAATGGAGATAGCAGAAGAGCTATCCCAGAAAAACTGTGAGCTACAGCTCCAGTGGATACGGAGAGACATCAACCAGCTAGCGGATGACCTCACGAACGAGGAGTTCAAGGAATTCGATCCCTCTCAGAGGATAGATCTGAAAGGAGAGGAATTCCAGTGGCGTGTTCTGGGCCGGCTACTCGCGCATGCAGATAGCTTCTACCAGGAGCTAGGCACGCGAAAGCGAGGGACCCCGGATAGGGTGTCCAAGTTTAGCCGTAAGGCCAGAAAGCTAGATCCCTGGTAGCCTGAGTGGCGATGCGTGGGGATAGATAGCCGAAGGCTATCAGTTATCTCCAGGCAACCTGGGATAGTTGCCACTCCAGACAAAAGAACGTCCGTGCTAGCTGTGTTGCTTGTCCGTCTGGTCGTCGCTCGGCTAGCTCGCTAGCTATCTACTTTCGCACTACTATCGTCCTGGTGGAGTTCCGGGGATGGTGGTGGGATATAGGAGCTAGTGCACGTACCTCGTGACGAGGAACGAGTTACGACTATGTGTGCTAGCTTACCTATTACTACTCGAAGCTATCGAAGGTAGCTTCGCTAGAAACGAAGTTTCGTTCGCTATCGTCGCTCGCAGGAGAGTTGCCTCTGACATGCGAAGACAGGATAGCTGTGACTTGGAATGGCTACGACGGTGTGTGACCGTGGCCATTCTGGATAAAGTCCCCCATCAGGGGGGGTAATTTTGAAGTACCCACCCTGCCCACCCTGGGGATAGATAGCCGAAGGCTATCAGTTATCTCCAGGCAACCTGGGATAGTTGCCACTCCAGACAAAAGAACGTCCGTGCTAGCTGTGTTGCTTGTCCGTCTGGTCGTCGCTCGGCTAGCTCGCTAGCTATCTACTTTCGCACTACTATCGTCCTGGTGGAGTTCCGGGGATGGTGGTGGGATATAGGAGCTAGTGCACGCAAAATAATTGCTCGCATCGGTTGCTGTGGGTTGCACTTTCCGCGTCTTGCAGGCACTGCTTCCTCTATCTGATCGTCGCGTCTTTCCGATGTATATGCTGGAAGCAGCAGTCTTAGCGCCTAGACTCCTAGACACTGTGGACCAGTGTAGGACCTCGGGTTGACACGCCATGGGGAAGCAGTTGCCGAGCAAGAAGCCTTCCGCCATCTTTCCTTGTGCGAAGAAGGGGAAGACCAGGCTCCTTCTCAAGACCAACTTGACCAAGAAGCCCGTCGGCCAAAGCTCCCAGACCAAACTGTGGCAGAAGGTCCCCTACGTTCGCGACGGCTGCGTGCTCCGCATGGACCGCATGAAATGGAAGCGAAATCTAAAGGATTTGCTCAACGCGGACGAGGATCGCATGGTGAAGATCCTTACCGAAGATGGATTCTTGCCAGATTGGAGCAAGATGAAATGCCCGTTCTGCAACAAGAGTGCAGTGTCCACGCTCCAGAAGCGCGATGGGCTTCCACCGCGGTACCGGTGCCGCAACAGGAACTGCCACAAGTTCATCTTGCCACATCATCTTCATCCCGTGTTCACTTCCGCCAAAGGGTCAGAAGGACACTCTCTTGCCGTGCAAGGCTGTGCTCTACTCCTGCGGCTTGCCGGCGTCCCGCTTTCCAGCATCCACATTCTGCTGGATATGAACCACAAGGCCATCGAACGTATTGAGAAGGGCCTAGCCTTCACCCGTAAGGCATACGTCGAAGCTCACCAGAGGTCTATGACCTTTGGAAACCCGAAGGGCAAGAAGTGGACGGAGGTAGAGGCAGACGAGGCAGTGTTCGACAAAATGCTTGTTCCAGCAGAAGATTCGCCTGTGCGAGGCAGCAAGATCAAATGGGAGCAGTGGCTCGGCATGGTCGTCCGCGGCAAGCCGTCGTCGTTGGTCTTGCTCCGATTGCCCTGCGTGAGCACACGCAAGAGAGCGCCAGGCCCGGGCGCCATCAAGAAAGTGCATTGGACGAAGATCGCCAATACCTGGCTCAAGGGCCGCAACATCATACTCCACACCGATAGCGCTCGGAGTTACAAGGCCAAGGTGGCAGGAGTTCTCCATGACGCCGTGGTCCATCAGAAGAAGCGTGTGTGGAAAGGTGGGAAATGGATTTGGAAGCCTCCTACCTTTGTGCGCCTCGCCAAGCACAGACTCCCTGATGGCCGCAAGCTCACTTTGAAAGCAGGAACTCAGGTGGTGGATCGTGCGTGGCGGTTCATCAAAGATCGCCTCAAGATTAACCAGAACGTGAAATGCAATTCCACCCTTCTGCAGGCGAAGATACGCTCCGCTCAATTTGAGTATTGGCAGAGAGGCAAGGATGCTTGGGCCAGCACCGGGGAGCTCTTCACATGGTACATGAGCAACATCACGGAGAAGTTCTGAGATGCACAGCCACTAGGGCCAATCCAGGAAGAGCCTGTCGCAGGCCGAGGACGCAATTTTGACGGAATCACACGCTTTCGCTGCCTCTAACACACAAAAGCCGGATGCTCATGACATCTTGTTCTTTCTCTCGGTCTGCCGCGCATTCAATTGAACGAGAAGCCACATACCCACCCATGTCATCTAGAGGACACAAATACCACAATGCCTGGGGCTATACCGCCTTCGCTGCTAGATAATTTCGATAAGAAGTGGGGCTGTGCACATGCTGTACGATTGTATAACCACTGTTCATGTGTGGTGATGTATCCTCGTATGGTGAAGTCTGCAAGATTGCGTGTTGCATAGCGAAACTGCGAATGGCCCATTGCTGCCGTCATATCTTATCTGCTGGGTTATGGCTGCGTGTGGGAGGACCCCACGTAGAGCGGGCGGGTGCGAGAGCAGGCATGGCTATGCTCCGCACCGCGGCCCGGGAAAGGATCAACACGAGGCTGCGTGTGGGAGCACCCCACGTAGAGCGGGCGGGTGCGAGAGCAGGCATGGCTGTGCTCCGCACCGCGGCCCGGGAAAGGATCAACACGAGGCTGCGTGTGGGAGGACCCCACGTAGAGCGGGCGGGTGCGAGAGCAGGCATGGCTGTGCTCCGCACCGCGGCCCGGGAAAGGATCAACACGAGGCTGGGAGGACCCCACGTAGAACGGGCGGGTGCGAGAGCAGGCATGGCTGTGCTCCGCACCGCGGCCCGCCAAACGGACCTTTCGGTCCAAACTCCTCCCTCGCCCCCAAAACGGGTGGATAACCCGGGGGGGGGTAGCATAAGTATATATATATATATGTATATGTGTTCATGCCAAGAATCTCCAGCTGGTCTAGGTAACCTCTCCGCCACATCACGACCAAGGACCTCGCGACCTTGCCTGGAACCTTGGCGTGAAGCAGCTTGGCATAGGCCTGGACGACAATTTCATCATCGCCCTGCATCTTGACCGAGCCCAAAGTTCCTGGCAGCTTGGCTTGAAGACGGCTGCCGAGATTTGAAGCATGATTCCCCCCCTTCTTCCTTCTTAGGGCCGTCCGGCCCCTGGAAGCTTTGGTTTCAAGACGGCTGCCATGCACGAACCTGCCAAAAATGATTCCCCCGCCTTCTCCCTTCGTGGGGCCGTCCGGCCCACATCCCATCTCCGTCTCTCTCTCTCTCTCTCTCTCTCTCTCTCTCTCTCTCTCTCTCTCTCTCTCTCTCTCTCTCTCTCTCTCTCTCTCTCTCTCTCTCTCTCTCTCTCTCTCTCTCTCTCTCTCTCTCTCTCTCTCTCTCTCTCTCTCTCATCTCTATGTATACATTATTTGGTTAGCAAATTGGGGCCGCCTGGGCCGTCGTTTCAGCTTGAAGCTGGTGATTGAAATCAATAGAAACATCCACTTCAAAATCAATAGAAAATCTCCATAAAATCAATAGAAATTTTCCATAAAATCAATAGAAAGACCACGATTAAAATCAATAGAAGTCAACACTCAAAATCAATAGAAACATGTACAAACAAAAGTTCCAAACGATTGAAATTTCTTCAAATTCAATAGAAGTTTCGTGTGCCCTCAAAATCAAGCGGCCGATTGAAAAAATCAAGCGGGCGTCCTCTGGGAAGGGCATCCACGCCTTCGCGTCCAACATCTTCAGGATCGAGGACGGGCAAGGCTACAGATCGACGTCCCGAGACATCTGGTTTTCAGGTGCCAAGGACTCTGTCGAGGGCAAAGGACAGAGGAGTGAGAACTATGGAGAAAGCGTCTTCTAGAAGCTCATCAGCACGGTCTAGGACATCAACAGCAAGGGCGCGGGAGAGATCCATGACATGGAAGAAGATGGTTACGAACCATCCCCATGACCCTGATGACGCGGATATGACACTCGATACCATACCGGCACGAGGTGATGCATCATCGGTGGCTACCCCGGCTATAGCTGATGATCCGAATCTCTATCAGGAAATGACGGTGAGACAACAGATCGAAGCCTCGAACCTAGCGCAGCAGATGTATTACCGGAGCGAAGTGCAGGAATACGAGAGTGTCGCGCAGAACCTGGTAGACAAGATCCGAGAGATGCAACAAGAAGATGAAGGATCTGGAATTCGCATCGAAAAATTGGAACGACAACGTGACCACGCATGTTTGGCCATGCGGCATATCAACAATGTCAATCAAGAGATGAAGCGTGATTATGAAGCAGCGTTGTTTCGCGTGGATGAACAGAACTCAGCTCAGCAACGTCAAGGGCATGCCATTGCCGAGGAGTTGGCCCAACAACTACATGTGGTTCGCACTGAAGCAGCTGCAAACTTTGTACAGTTGGAAACACGAGCTCAAGGTGATGGAGAACTCATGGCACGTGAGTATGAGCACCTGACACAGGAACTTCACGAACAAGTCAAGCCAGGGAGAACTTGTACCTCCGATCGAGCACGGCTAGCTCGGAGCAAGCCATGCATGCCATGCAAGAGCGATTCATTCTCGCTAGGAATCAGGAATTGCGAGCCATGAATGAGATCCAAGGATGGTAATCAGACAGCCATGGATCATGAACAGCATCGACTTCGCGAACGTCTTGGTGAAGAAGAAGAAATTCGCAGAATGGCAGTGAAGAGGATGCATGACGCAGAAGTTCAACTTCAACAGCACGAAGATCACGCAAGACAGGCGTAGCCGACTTTGCATGATGAGCTGAATGAACTCAGGAAAGCACGTAAAGCACAAGAAGATCTTCAATCAAGGACACATAGTGAGCTTGAGGCGGCACGGAGTACCAGCTTGCATGTTGGATCGTTCCGTCCACCAAGCGGACCAATGTCCTCAAGAACGACTGAATCGGGCTGGGAACACGTAGGAAAGGATGTTGTACCTGCATTTTCCGTAGGAGTTGAGGTACGATCCCCTGAAACACGGTCCCCTAGTCAGATTAGTCCAGTCGCCAGAGGAAGTTCGCATTCTCCGAATTGAGCAGAGACAAGAACCTTGCTCCGAACGATGCGAAGATCGCGAATGAGGGCAACTCGAACGACAATGTGAAGGGCGAGGTCCACTTGCTTCAGGGAGCGGCACCGATCGTAGAGGACACGGTACTTGCGCACAACGTGCCTAGTACCAGTACCCCAGCACATGAGCGTTCCACGCCTAGTGCAGCGATGTTATTCGGTATCCCAAGCGGACCTACCCAGAAGCAGACCGATGCAAGAGCCGTACGTGATCGACAGTTGCATGAACTTCTGGAGGATCGCGGCATGTTGGGAGGAAATTCCACAGCATCAGCTAGCTCTTCCAGACCTGTCAATCTTGACGGTGTACTTGCATCGATAAAAGGTTTAAATTCCAATTTAGTTTCGAGACCTATACGCCCGTGAGCTTCGACAGTTCGATTCATGACGCAAGGAAACGTCAGCTCGAAAAAGAGATTGCAGAGCAGTACGAGGAGAAGATCGCCGAGTTGCGAAGCGAAGTCCTCAAAGCTCAGAAAGCCGAACAACGTCTCCGAGCCGACCGTGATGAATGGAAGATATTCGCCGAAGCATTGCAGGAAGGTGAAGGAGGCGATAACGGTGATGAAGATGGCGGGGAATTCGAGGACAAAGGGCAGGGAGATGGTGCCGGAGTCGGACATGATCCTCCAGATCCGCCAGACCCAAGTGATGGAGACGGCAAGAAGAAAGGCGGAGGAAAACCCGACCCGGATTCCCCCTGATTCACGTGATCGTGATGGAGACGCAGACCCTGAGGTGACAGAGGTTAGGATTTCCAGGAGAGAAGCTGACAAGGTGAACGTCCCTCCTTGGCCTACCCTCACGCACTTGAACAATTGGCGTTCCGCGTGTGCCGCAAACGTTCTCGGTGCGCTGCATCAGCTGATCCCAACCATGAGGACTGGATGTTGTGGCTAGCACCAGCTTTCAATCCGTTCCCTGACATCGAAGAATTGAATGACTCTGGACACAAGAAGTTCAAGAGCATCGACGTCAAGTTGGGGGTCGCCATGGTAGCAATGTTGCGGGCCGGTGGTGGCAAATCCGCTGATCTCTACCTGGAAGTGAACCGGAAGGCGAATGACTATATTAGTCAGCCTGAGGGAAAGATCATCAAAGGACGGCAGATCATTGCAATGATGTACGAAAGCTTCAGAACGCATGACCGTCTCGACATGATCATCACGTTGGATTACCTGGTGAAGCTCCAATACCAAGGCGACAACAAGCTTCACACGTTCAAACAGACATGGTTGGAAGTCCTTGGACGAATGAGACCGGAGGATATACCGTCCAAGACGGCTCTTCGCGACTGCTTGTACAGCAAGATCAAGGATTCGGCCGCAATGAAGATGGATTTGGGTATGCACTACGAGCTCCTACCCTACAATCACGAGGATCGGTCGTACGAGAACCTCATCAAGATCATCGACCGTACCGTCATGCGAAGATGCGAACAGGCAAATCTCACTCAGACCCAAATCGGCTTACGTCAGATGTTGGAGGGCAAGGATATGCTCGCTGCACCGGCCAAGACTCCTGACAACAAGACACAGCCGAATGCAGCGCCTTCCCCGAAGGTCAAAGCAAGTCTAACAAAGCCTGACAAAGCAACTCCCGTGCTGCCTCAGGGCAAAGCGAAGAGTCATGCGAAGACTAAGCCGAAGCCGAAGAAGAAGACCAGGAGTGAGTCCGCGGATACACAGGATGACAAGAGCAAGAAGCATATCCGCTGCAAGTTTCATTTCACAGATGCAGGGTGTCGAAATGGTGACAAGTGCCCATTCAGTCACTCCAAGAAGACTCCAGAACGACCTTTCACGCCAAGGTCAAGAACTCCGAGCCCGTCGGGTGGAGCAAGTCGGACATGCTACTCATTCAAGAACACTGGTTCATGCATGCTCAAGGGAGAATTGCCCCTTCAAGCATGAGGCTGCGGCAACACCAGCACCTGAGCCGAAGGCTAAGGCTAAAGCCAAGTCCCAGCAGCCGCTAAGCCAAATGCGAAGGCGAAGGCACTTCCAGCAGCACCAGCCATCAGACTTTGTCGGAGGTGGCATCCATCAGCGCCTGCTATTTGGAAGAGATCCTCAAGGCAGCACGCTGAAGAGTCAGTTTGTTCATCCGTGGACAGTGACGCTGACTCGGATCGCTCAGCTGATGATGAAGCGCCGGGGCCGACTACGTCGACTCGGAAAGCTGCCAAGCACAAAGTGTCGTTCGCTGAGGACGTGAAGTTCGTATCCTCACGACCAAGAAAGTCGAGCAAAGAGAGGAAGCGAGAAGTAACGCCCGTTGATGTGGACGCGCTGGTGAACAATGAGGATCGCCCTGTTGATTTGGAATTCGCTAAACACAAAGCAAGGCTGAGGGCGCAGATTATGAGAGACATGGTTGATGACGGTCGCGACGGAGATCGAGTTTGGTTTGCGCGGATCCCAGGGACATCCCGAGTGGAGGAAGTTTCCTTCTATGATGGAGAGGATTCCATTGTTGAACGTGAACTCGACGCCGCGCACAGTAAGCGGATCATCGACAGAGGGATGTTCAAATGTATGGTCCAACCAGTCAGTCTCAAGAAGAAGATCAAGTTCCTGATGGACACTGGTTGTGGACATGACCTCATATCGCAGAAGAAAATTGAGAAGCATAGTCTCGAGACGCTTGTGACCCCGGAGCCCATATCTTTTCAGACGTGTCGAATTTCCAAACCGAGTCGTTTGAAGAGCCTATCAATGCCTACGTACTGGGAGATACTCCATCGGTGCTTTCAGTCGGAAAGCGGTGCATGAATTTCAACTACGGGTTTGTGTGGCCACCTGGAAGGGAGCCATTCATAATCAACCCGCAAGGGAAAAGGATTTCGCTCTTCGTGAACGGTGACATTCCCTGCAAAGTCTTTCGTTCACGACGATGCAGAGGCGAAGGCAATCTCTGAGATCTTCAAAGGTACGGTATCTGCCAATGATGTCGACGTCAGTGTCGCTGCTGCCGCTGAAGCTGTACCAGGTGAGGTTGAAGAAGAAGAAGAAGGTGTCGAACACAGACGACCTCCTGATCCTGAACCTCATGAAGCTCCTGGAGAAGAGGTGCCCGAAGCCGAAGCGGGAAGACCTCCGGATGAAATAGAAGGAGGAGTTGGAGAAATTCCTTTGGACGATGACGATGAGGTTGTCATCGAGGTGGAAGGTGATGGTGCCCCGAGCCGCAAGGCCAGAGTCGGGACATTGAAAGCGGAAGCGAAAACGCTTGCACACCTCTGCACTCATCGATATCGCGATCCCTACTGCGATTCATGCATTCGCGCAAAGATGAAGCATCTACGGACCCAACGGGGTGCATTTCAGCGTGTGATTAAAGACTGGGGTGATCTCATCACATTCGATTTCCTTGACGTGCGCAAAGCTGCCGAAGCCGGTATTGGACTCGACGACGGTGCTCGCGAGATCCTGGTCATCAGGGACGTTGCCACAAAGATGATTGCTGCTATACTATACCCACTGCATCTAGGCAAGTCGTCATGGCCATAAGACGCGTGATGGGAAGACGAAAAGTTCACATGGCATACAGCGACGAGGCACCTGAGTTCGAGTCAGCTATGGCGCAGTTTATTGATCATTCCCTACCGGGAAAACCCAACAACATTTCTCACGCTGAACGATCGAATCAGGAAGTGATCAACACAGTTGCCTCTTCCATGCTACATGCCGGATTACCTGCTCAGTATTGGACATTTGCGCTAAACTGCGTAATGCACAATCTCAACATTGAGGATGTTGAGGGCGACGGTGATTCAGCTTGGAAGCGGATGACTGGAAAAGAATTCGAAGGAAAAGCCATACCGCTTGGAGCCAAGGTGTTCTTCAAACCTTCAGATACTAGGCCGAAGACCTATGGCAACAAGTTCGATCCGAAGGGCATACCTGGCATATTCGCCGGGTACGTAATCACTGTTGGTCAAGGTTGGTCGAAGAAGTATCGCGTCTGGGACATGAAGGAGTTTGCGAACGCGAACTTGTCAATGGATGCATCCGTTCCCAGAAAGCTGATGCGACCATACGAGACTGAAGTCGTCTACTTCCCAGAGGAGATAACGTTCCCCTTGAAAGCTGAGTACGAAAGGATGAATGAAACCATTGAGGGACTCAAGGACAACGTTGATCTTGCTGGTAAGGAGATAAACGACATCGACAACGGTGACGACGGTCCGCCTGGAGGAAATGGTGGCGGAGACGATGATGATCAGAATGATCTACTACCTCCACAAGATCCCGGAGAAGACCCTGATTTGAAGGACATTGATCCATCTGACATTGAGACGGAATCTCATGGTGAAACCTGGAGATGCGTTTGGCTTTTATTAAACGTTGTGTCGTTTCTTAGCTTTCGTGTGCGGTCTGGGCTTTTGTTGGTGCCGGTACACTTTTATTAAGAAACGTCCAATCTTGACGCTGGGAAGAAGAAACGTCCAGAAGAAGAGTTTTGGAGAATGAAATGTTTGAGCTTTTTTTTGTACGAGCGATCATGGTCGGGGCACCGACAGGAAAAGTTTGAACTTTGATTATACAGTTGAGCATGGTGGGGGCACCGACAAGAAAAGTTTGAGCTTTCCTGAATTCGGGAGTTCCTGACTTATACTGCATGAATTCGAGATTGCTATATAGCTATATACTTCTCGTCTTAATATATTGCTCGCTTAGTGCATGAATTCGAGATAGTTATATTATACATGACCCGTTTCACACTGCGAGGGCTCGAGAAAAAAACTTAAACTATGGCTCAACTTTGCGCTCATGAGAAAAAACCCTAATCTTAAATTCCCTACAGGTGTGTGTTTGTGTGTGTGTGTCTGCGAGACAAAAATCACCGTGAACCCTAATTTTAGTTGCAAGCTTTAACGTTTGATAATAATTGACAAACACGCAGAAGCTTTCGAGCATGAAGCAGCCATGGCTGGCCATGGTCTGGTACTCGTGGATCGGCGATCGAGGCCCTGGAATTAGCACATTTAGGGCGCTGAACAAACAGCCGCCCCAAGGCGCTGAAGAAGCAGCCTGTACTAGAGTAACGGTGTAGAGTATAAGTGGGTGGGCGCTGAACAAGCAGCCCAAGGGCGCTGGATAAGCAGCCTGTCCTAGAGTGATCGGCAATCTGTTTCTTGAGTCCACAACACATCCTCCCAACCTCCCCCTCCTCTCTCACGCCCTATAGGTTGGGCGGTAGGGCGGTGGCTGGCACGAGCTCAGGGCCAGGACGCTGGAGCAGTATACACCGCCGATTTTCAGATCATCCATGCAGCCACTGCCCCGGCCGGCGATCGTACATTTAGGGCGCTGAACAAGCAGCCTCCCCAAGGCGCTGAAGAAGCAGCCTGTACTAGAGTAACGGTGTAGAGTAATTAAGTGGGTGGGCGCTGAACAAGCAGCCCAAGGGCGCTGGATAAGCAGCCTGTCCTAGAGTGATCGGCAATCTGTTTGTTAAGTCCACAACACATCCTCCCCCTCCTCTCTCACGCCCTATAGGTTGGGCGGTAGGGCAGTGGCTGGCACGAGCTCAGGGCCAGGACGCTGGAGCAGTACACCGCCGATCATCCATGCAGCCACTGCCCCTGCCGGCGATCGTGCGTTTAGGGCGCTGAACAAGCAGCCTCCCCAAGGCGCTGAAGAAGCAGCCTGTACGGATTCGAGCCTTGCGGATGCCTGCAGCAGACACATCTAGCCAGGCCATATGGGTTCAGACAGCGACACCCTGCAGCATCACGGATAGACACAACAGACTTCTACAGCGTTCAGGACAGACTCTCACACTTACAACTTCAACATTTTTTCGAGGATGCCCAGAACGTCGGAGCAGTAGCTTCACCTATGCCCGCCCACTTAATACTCTACCGTTACTCATAAATCCGCCATGCCTCGACGCACCAATTGCGTCTCAGAAGTGTGCGTGAAGAAATGGGCGACAACGTGGGATGATTTCATATTGAAGACTCTCCGTCAAACCAAAGGCCGGGTCACTGAAACGTGGATCCTGAAGGAGGCTGCCCTGAAGAAGAACAAAAAAAGGCCACGCAGAAGATCAAGGCGCAGAAGGTCATGAAGGCAATGAAGACTATGAAAAGCAAGACGGCAAAACCGAACAAGGAGGCCATGAAGGCAATGAAAACTATGAAAGCCAAGACGGCAAAACCCAAAAAGGCTACAGGCCAACTGAGTCGGAGTTCGAACAACTGACTGAGCTGATGAGGAGGCTACGTGCGACTGCTGTGATCCGCTGGGCGCCGCAACGAGTTTACAATCTTGCCTGAACTGGCCGGGTAATCGCACATGAGGAGTGGAGTCCCCTTGATTCACTCGATTCAGCCGAGGGGTGGAAAATGTGAGTGCTTTTGCCGGGGGTTGCTTTTGGTTTGGTTCAGGGCACCTTAACCCTTTCGGCCCCGATGTAGGCTGCCCGCTAGGGAAGGCGCTGAACAAGCAGCCTCAGAGGGCGCTGAACAAGCAGCCTTTTAATTTAATAAAGCAGCCCAAAACCCTATTCGAAGTATCAAGGTTAAGTTAGTGCCGCGACAGTAAAGCCCAACATGTCGGACCAGATTGAGGTTTTGCGCTGCGCGAACACACGGCATGTGGCTCAGCAAGCAATGCTTCTTCAGTTGATAGTGGGATGGAAGGCGCTGAACTAACAAGCAGCCTCAGAGGGCGCTGAACAAGCAGCCTTTACGGTCTTCCTCTGCAGCGGGCACTGCCCTTGGCATATCTTGGCTCAGTGCTGTGTGCAGCTGTGAATCAAGTGTTGGATCCGCCTTTGCATTTCCCCCGAAGAATGGCAAGCATCAGATGCCCGCTGTGCAGTGAAGATCGGTGCGGGAAAGTGTGGTGGAAGCCGTCGCAGTACAAGGCAGGCAATGCAATGGTGCCGGGATTCTTCAACTGTTGCAGGTCCTGCAACGAGGATTGTTTCATGCCGCGCAAAAGCCTGTGTGAGGGACTCTTTCACGCATTGCGACTTTCATGGGTTGAGATCGTGGAGACAAGCGAGCTTGTTGCTGCATGGACCGCGTACATGCAAAAGCCGTCAAGAGTCGGGCACCACACATGGTACCACAAACCTGGCCAAGTGGATCTGGGGGTCGGCCGAGACATTTGCCATTGGGGTATCGTCCTGCTTGTCGGCGTGCAGAAAGTGCACGAGCACTTCTCCAACACCGACACAGTGCACCAGGGTGTCGAAGGTTTCCTCTACTGGCTCCCCGTTCATAAGAATCCTGATGCTGTCAAGGTGTTGCACATGGTGCAGCATTTCTTAAAAGACTTGCATGAGCTTTCCTCGGAGCTTCCGATCAGAGGGGGACATCACGTCACCTGGGAGGGCTTGTTCGAAGTGGTCGATGGACTGCCAAATGTCTGGTGATTGCAACGAACTACAAAGTCACCCCGCCATTTTGCAGCGTGCAGGCAAAATATCAAGCATTATAGTGCTACGAAGGTGTAGGTCATTCTATAGCATGGGAATCGGAATGGCAGCTACATTCTAGCACTGTATAAGCCTGTACCATGCATGATTTTCGTGTGTATCGGCTGTGTGGAATATCCTGCAAAGCAGGGCTGGAATGGGCCGGAATATTGGCCTTATCAGATGAGATCGTGGAAGTGCTCCATGTGCTTGCACAGCCTATTTGAGTGCCCAAAGCCTCCCGTAGCCTTCAGGTGGCAAGGGCCATCAATAATCCTCGAAGAAATGTTGAAGTTGTCCAGTTGCTGTGCCTGTGTTGAAGTGGTCGGTCTAATGATTCTGAAGAAGCAGCCGCTGTTACCTTGCTTGACTGGGAATATGCTCATTCTAGGGCTCTACACTCTGTGCAGTTTGGTCACAAAAAGACGATGTCTCGAAAGCTTTCGCTTGCACTCTCTCAGTCTTGCAGTTTTTGAAACTTGTGCCGGCCCCAGGTCAGCTTAGCTGCTGGCTGCGGGCCCCGGGCCGCCCCGGCCTGAGTCCACTTGTTGCCCTGGCAAGAAGGAGGTGGTTTTACGGGGCCGGCCGGGGAAGCCGACGTATCCCGCAGGCACACGGATGCTCTCCTGCTGAATAGCCATTTTGGCTCAAGTCGTGTGGCTCTGCTGTAGTGACCGCGGTGAAGGTTTTCTTTAAGGGGCTGGAGGCTCTAAGTGGTTCCTGCGATGCTTCAATCGGGGCCCCTTGACGTGTCAGCTTCGCTGATGCATGGACTCGCCGACGCCTTCGCAGGCTTCTGCAGAGTCTGATCTGGTGCCAGAAACCCTGCTTGGAGTGCTTGGAGATCCTGAGGTTTGCTCTTGCATTGCCAGTTTTCTGCAGGGAAACGATCTTTGGGCACTGGAAAGCTGCCACTTTTGGGCGGCGACTGATCTCAGGTGGTACTTGCGAGGTGAATCTGCACCTGCTTCTAGGGCACCTTCACTTCTCCGGTGCCAGCTGGCTAAGCGATCATGTCTTCTGACCTCATCGACCGCCTACTGAATCGCTGATTTCTTGTGGCCTTGCTACCTGAATTTGTGATTGCTCCGCCGTCCTCGAAGTTGGTTCGGCGGTCTCTCGGTTTTGCTTACGAGGCTCAGGAACATGGCTCTCTGTCATGATGTTCCTTAGGCTCCAGCAATGCATCGGTCTTTAGTTTCCTTTTCACCGGAAGCTCAGAGCCACACCGCAACAGGACCATGGCAAAAACTTGCATGCCACTTTCGATTCTGTTACTTGAGGATCGAGAAAGATCTTGTTACAATTGATGCGAGGCGACCGATCTCGAGCCCGAGCCGGAGACCTTCGCAGACGACCCAGATTGTCGATCCAGGGGTTAAGCCATAAACCACAAACTGAAGTGTGTGGTGGCATGTATCACTTTGACTTGAATCAATCAGTGAGCCTGAGTTCGGCCTGTGTGTGACAATTGCTGCATTTGGACGGCTTCCAGCAACGGCAAAACGTATTGCATTCTCAATGACCTATCAAGTAAGATTGTCAAAGTTGTTTACTGTCTATTTGTATTTCTTTCACATAAGTTGGATGCAATGTCGTCTCTTTTGCCACATTTGTCTCACATGCGCAGAAACAGGCAAGGCAGCCTCCCAGCTGACACCAGCAGCACTGGAGTCATCCTCCCAGCTTCCAGCAGCACTGGGGTCACTGCAGTTCGCAATAAAAGGGTGAAACCTTCGAAGTTTGCTCTGCGGAGCTTCTACTGTGCCCCGCATCGGCTTGCTTGCTTGCGGGGACAAGTGAAATGTGGCTACGCACTGATCAAGAAGCTACGCAAGGACTTGAAGGCTCGTCACACGATATTCTTGAGAGCCCAGGATGCGAAGAAGCCAATGAAGATCTTGAAACAACTTTGGAGGAAGCGATTTAATACTCGGCGGTGGATCGCTTTTGCAAGGGCTGGAATTCGTGCAAGCAAGACCCTGTTGAAGTTCATGGGCTACAGTGTCCTCCGCCGCCCTTAGTTCCATTGGCAAGTGATCAGTTCGCACGACTTATTCACCATTTCTCCTGTGTTTTCTCACCACTTGAAAGAGCCAAGTAGCAGCCCGGCTTTGTTCAGTTTGTTCCGTGTACGTATCTCGATGAACTTTGGAGAAAAGCCCTCAGGCCTGAGGGTTTGGTGTTTGCTTCTTAGATGACGTGGGAGACTTCTTCAAATCTGTGACACAGTCTGTGACACTCATGCTCCAACTCTGGGTTGATTCTGACGGCTGGCACTGCCAGAGGCAAAGGGTGTCAGCATGAGGCTCGCACTGGAGTGCACAGCAAAGCCTGAATGACCTGCAGGACTCCCTGTGGCTTATGAGTGTGTCCATTGCAAGGTTACAGGTTGCACGTGAATGCTTCAAGATGCTGCCAGACATACCACCCCAAAAGCTAGTTGGCAGTTACAAGGAACAGAGTCATGCACAGCCTGCAAGTCAACACTGTAAGACTGATCGACGAGCCGATGGCGGGCTGGACGTGCATCAGGTGCTTGAAGACAAAAACATTCCGGAGAAAACGCATATGTCATCAATGCGACCCAACTGCTGGGAGAGGCATGCATCACAAAAAGATGCTGCCACAGCAACGCTTGTGCAGGAAGACTAACTTGAAGGCCCGCCTGGAATCCAAGCGCTCAGCGTCTTCACAGCCGTCACCTCAAGCAGAAGAGCTGGCCAGGTGCTTGGAAATGGAATTTTGCACGCTCCGGACTGTCAGTGACTATGCAGTCAGCCATGGCATCTTGGGACAAGCGCACCAGATCGTCAAATCACTGGACGGAGCAGAAAGCACGAGTCTCCCGACTGCCAGTGCGGAGATGGTGCAGGCACTACTGTTCGCAGCCATGGGACTCAGCACGCACTATGTCGATGATGAGCAAGACTTCAGGAGAAAGATGAACAAGGTGAAGAATCTGCATCAGTCTGCAGTGACTAAGTGTGAGTGTTTCTGGTTCAGCCGTATAGCGGCCTGCGAAAGCTCCTGCCTCTTGAAGTGAAGCTGCAGGGCTCCTCGTGCATGCCTTAAGCACATCGAATCGAATCTTTCTTTTCTGGGGCCCAGCAAAGCAAAACACGAGGAGCAGCATGCCTTGCTTCCCTGTGCAGGGTCAGTGCTGTTTCCGAGGCTAAAGCCGGAGGAAGCATAGTAGGATTGTCTTGCTGCAGCGGGGTTGCAGAAAAAGGGTCGAGCCAAGAGGGGCCTAGAGCAATGAGTTCCCTTTAATGTGCACTTCGAGGAGCAGTCATCAGGGCGGGTAACGCCACAAGTCTTCAAAGCCATGAGTCCTTCGAGAATAACAATTCGCAACCGGTTGAGACTTGTAATTTGCTAATGAAATACAGCCATCCTTGCGGGCAATGCAATAGGTCGTTAAAAAGCCATGAGTCCTTCGAGAATAACAATTCGCAACCGGTTGCGACTTGTAATTTGCCAATCTTTGCAATGTGTGGGTTTGACGAAGATCAGCAGCTTGACGTTCCGCGCGTAGATGAATCTGTGAAGTTTCTTCGCGTGCACATGTCACTGAGCCGCCCGTGTTGGTGCTTTGTCACACTGGCTCAAAGTCAAAAACATACAGCTATAAGCTGTAGGGCCATAGCAGAATGGCATCGCGGCGGCGGCGCCGCGTGTTCGTGGGGAAACCCAGCGCAAGCCCAAGCCCATTCGGAGCTCCCTTTTACTGGGTGGATGTTTCTGGCTCTGATGATGATGATCCTGATTCCAAGCGCCGCCGGGTCCTCGGCCAGCGTCGTCCTTGCCTCTGTCTGTGTGCGGGTGTGCTTGCGTCTGTGGTTTTTTTCTTGCAGGTCTGTGCTTTCTTAATGGGGCTGCTGCCAGGTAAGGTGCAGCTGTTCGTAGGCGACTTGCCCAAAGACGTGACTCGGGCGGACCTAGAGTACGTGCTTCCCTCGGCTGTCCTCGGGTTGCAGCTGTGGATGCATGCAGGGAAGAGCCTTGCTCAGGTCTTCAAAAGATATGGCACTTTGGACGAGGCCTGTGCCCAGCAAATGTCGGCAAGCAGTTAGAGCGCCTTGCGTAGCCCGCACAGGCCATCGACCTTAGGCCCGGAACGTCGCGGTTTGGCGATTGCCACGCTTTCTTAAGTTACCAAGATGCGGCCGAGGCGGGCTAGAGCAGAGATGGGGATGGGCTGGCTGAAGTTCTGAGATTGTGAGCGTCTGATTGCAGTGATGCAATGCGGAGCTTGTACTCTCAGGCAGAAAGTCTAAGTGCAATTGCGGCGCTGAGCAACGTGTATTCGTTCAAGCCAGGCGGGGGCGAGGAGCTGAAGCGGCATGTGAGGTTTAGGCGGACGCCGTGCAGGTCACAAGCCGATTATAGCGCAACATAGATTCCGAAAGCGGCGCCGCTGCGGTGGACAAAATTCTGGAGGCGCGGCGAGCGATTGTGTCCCGGGGCATTCTCGGTGGCGGTCAGTGTGTGCCTGACGTGTTCTTTACGCCGTGCAGGTCAGAAGCCGATTATAGTGCAACAGAAGTTTCGAAAGCTGCGAATGCGGCTGTGGAGATGCAAACGATCGATGAGGCCTGCCTTGCTTTTATCACACGAGAGCAAGAAGGCCTTTGTGTGCAATTGATCCGCGCAAATGATTTTGTTGATGCTGTTGAATGGGCCGCATGTTGTGGTTCAGTGTGCTGGAAGCTCGTGCACGCATGACATGAGGCCAGAAATAGCCTAGAACATCATCAGGGCATCGAGCCGAACAGCTCGAGCGGCAACTGAAGCTTAAAACTACGGGGCCAGCATTGCTAGCTGCTAGCAACAGCACCGGCACCAGCCTAGCAGCAAGAGCCCAGCATACACAACAACACAGCAGCACACTAGGCGGCACACACCATGGACACGGAGCGCGAAAATTTGGGCCGCCTCCTGTGGACCGTCGCCCT